AATTCTTTCACTAGCAGCTGAGATATTATAGACAGATTAACGCAGCCTTCCACAATCCAATGACTCTCAAATGGGTTGGACTTCAGCAACAATAATTCCCAGACTTTGGTCACAGCGGCTGGGAATTCTGGAAGCTCTATATAGTATTAGCAACATATCTTATATGACCAGAACATTCTTTGAATGAGTTGTTCCTGGAATAGCGGGTGGTAACTAGTTTTTGTTCTCCTTCACGCTGTCTGCTGACAGAATAAATTTTGTAAGCATTGCACAAGAACTGCAATTACAACTGCAGGTTTTGAATCAGCGCTGCTTACAGTTTTAGCATTCATCACAGTGACTATTCATATCTCATTAGCAAATTTGAAGCTTACATGATAGGAAAATCTGATCAAGCACCTTTAACTTTCAAACCAAAATGATTAATGAGCGATGCATAACAAGCTCAATTTTGGAATGACCTATTAGTTATATACCATTCTCACACACAAGTATGGCACAATGAAATTACCTTTCAATCTGAGTCCAATTTTTACTTTTGTAGTAACACACCTGCACCAGATGATTAACAATAATTAACATCAAAGATACATTATGTGTATTTCACGCTGGTTTGAATCTTAATGTGAATAAAGAAATACAAACCTCACTTCAGTACCATTATTATATCAATGTTCAACATAATATTGAAAATAGCTGCTTTGTAAAAAATAACTCCCATACTTTGGGAGGGGGAGGAATAATTTTCTCTTCATGGAAAATGCTCCCTTGTCCTATGATTCCCTTCAAAAAAAAAAAACTTTAAAACTACTAATTCTGTTAATAGGGCAGATGCTTTAATCAGTAAATATGCTCCTAACAACAATTACAGATGAATCATCTGCTTTCAGAATAGCTTTTTCTCAATCCTGCAAGGGAGGACAATTGCAAATTAGAAGTATTTAATTTATGCTACATAGATTTTAAGTTTTGATATCTAAAAGTAACCAGGTAAATGCAATCATAGCAGAATAATTATTTGGCATTATGCACTAATTATGTACTTATTCACTAGCAGCTGATTAAAAATACCCCTTAAGATGACTGTGCTGAAATCACAACTGTTTCTTAATCTAATATGTAGAAGAGCTTTATTATTTGATATATGTATAATATCCTGAAAATTTAACTGGATTAAATGCCACTTGAGCTGCATCCTCCAGTATTATCTTGAGTGGTTCTCCGTACTGCTCAGATTGACTACTGCCATTTGCAATATTTGTTGAAATGACTCAGTGTTTCACATCATATACATCTTTTACCAGAAGTTCTCAGGTACATGCATAGTAAGATACTAACAATTTTACTTCCACAAAACCTCCCGCTTCCCCCCCCCCCGCAAAAGTCTGTCTGTCTGTCTGTCTTTCATCAAACAGGCTAAGAACTAGTGAAAATGTCTGATTTATTTTCAGGATCAAAATATTACATTAGGAAGGACATTTACACATATTTATAAAAATGCAGCAGTT